CAGTGCCCTCTGGTAATCCCCTTTTGTGTCTTGCTGTAAAGGAAGAGAAGAAAAATGAAAAAGACACATGAGGAAACAGTCAGAAAATATGGAAGTATATGCATTATATTCTAAACCTGTGGGACAGACTGTGTTTCGCAGTTGAAGCCTTGTCAGCTTAGAGGAGACCAGATTGTGTTTTACCTTTGTGTGAATTGAAATTATTTATCATTCTTGCAATACAAATGCAAGGCCAAGAAGGAAGAGAAACTTGGGTATGAAAAAGAGTAACACAACAAAGGGAAACTGAAAGACTCTATTCTGTTCCTTCTCACTGATCACTGCAAAGCTCATACATCAAGTTCACTATTTTGAAAATTTGCTTATAATCTAAAAATTCACATCTTCAGGAGATGGCTTAAGATTTTTATGCAACTTGATTTACACTAGGAAGAATGTATCATACGCTGTTGTGAGGGTAGGTAGAAGAGACTAGTTTTTAAAGAGATGCACAAGCTCTTTACATATGCCCCAGGTTAAATAAAACATAGCACGTATACCTCCTGCCCACTCACAGCAATGGACAAAAATCACTCCAGCTAAAAAACCTACTCCTTGGGCACTGAAATGAAAGGCAGCAGCACTTCAGATGCTGTTTTCATTCAGCAATCACAGAGCAATTCTGTTTTCTCATTTCTTTTGCTCTGAGGATAGGGACAGGTGAACCAAATTTTCCTTCATAACACATCAGCTGATTGCACAAAGCCTACCTGCACCACCGAGTGGCTGCCAGGAGTTGTACCAGCTGTAGACTGTAAAGTTAAAGGTGGGTCTTCCCATAGTGCATGGATAATAATGTATTATTCTCACTGCAGCCTCTAGAACACTTCCCATGAATTCTAATGGTATGATTAATCCAACAAAGACTGCTGCGAAGGTCCATACACAATTGAGTTAAAAAGAAAGCTGAAAAACTTACCTGGATGAAATAATAGAGAGATTTTCCATATTTCCTCTTGAATTCACTCTTAATTTTCAGCATGTCAACCTCACAGCGGGAGACCATAATCCTGATCAGAACCTTGTCACGGGTTCCCTTGCCCTACAAGCAGATACACATTTAGAGCTTTAAGAGCTGAAATGCGTAGAAGGCCACTGTACGTAATGGTAAGACAGCAAATTACAGGCAACTGAGATATAGCAATGAAAGATACAATTAATTAAATCTTCTAACTAAGGTCACTATTATGATCCAGGAAGTTGAGCATGAACATGCCCTTCTCATCGGCAGTGTTTGACCAACATCCAGTCACAACTCTAGCTACTTCAGACTGTAAGCAGCAGTTCTAGTTCACCAGGAGGTCTTCCTGGTACTGCCTAATGCCTGTCACCACGTGTCTCTCTTTCATTCCTTTTCTTAAGAAAACGTTTTGAGGCAAATTTAGTATCTTATTTTGGCACTTCAATAAACAGCTTTTTCTGCTATCAGCTCTTGGTTACATGCAAAAGATGTGTCTAACTTTGATAATTATAATCAACTGATCTAATTCAAATCATTATTATGAGACTCTTCCCTATACCAGATCCACCTGAATAGATGGCCTAGGCTCATAACTGTTAAAGAATGCTTTTGAACAACACTAAGTCATTGTTAATTCAATCACATGCCAGTTGCAGATCATATGAATAAAAGTGCCTAAGGAATTCAAATTTGTTGAAACAATGGCAAGAAAAAAATGAGTAGAAAGAAAGAACAATTTTCCTACCTTCATGGATTCATACAGTCTGTCCGCAAAATACAGCTGCTTGTTCTGAATGCACTGGACTGAAAAAGAGAGATAAGAATAGTTACATACCCTGCCCATACATGGAATAGCAGAAAACAGAATCTTGGAGCCATTTTAAAAGACATAATAAGTAGTCAAAATAAGGTTTTCAGCAAAAGTTTCTCCAAAAGGGGACACAGAGAAATTATTTTTACCTGAGTTGCACTTAGAAGTTATTTGGCTAAGACTGTGATTGAACCACAAGCGCTTGTAACTGAGAAAGTATTTCCTTCCATTGCTAATATCATTTCAGAATGCTAGCACTCCTCCACACACACCACAGTTCATTCTTCCACTTCTGTAAGCAACCTCTTTTCTGAAAACACTCATTGTATTCTAATCCACAAGAAGTCTCCCTTTCAAGCCTGAGCTCTGTTTATTTTCCATTTGCATTACAGAGCTCTCAGATCACCCTTAGTCTGAAATGGATTTTCTCTTAAAAAATTTCCTCTTAATCTTGGAGACATCCTTGTCATCTTCATCTTATGCCACAGTACCAGCCTTACACCCTGCCTCCCTATTTCAGAGAATCCAGTGCCAAGTTAGTTTCTATTAGCCTCTAGCATCCTCCACTGCCCATCTCCTCCTCTCACACACACACACATTGTTCTCTCTCCAGCCTATGTCTATGTTGAATACTTAATGTGTTCAGGTATAGTTCCAACCTTTTTGCTTGTTTGAGGTAACAAACACTAAGCCTCTGTATCAAGCAAAAGAGGAACTAACAACAGACCACAAAACACACACGTTTTTATTTTCATCTGGAAAGCAAGGCTTGTATTTTGCAAAGGGCAAAAATATGCTACTTCTCAATATCTGTAATATCCTAAAATACACTAGTGGATGCAATAATGGCAGCACGTCCAGTTTCTTTCTTGTCCAGCAATGCAGAGGAAGCTGAGCCCTATCCTATCACAATACACTGGAAGAGCACTGAAAAGATCCTATCTAAAGATACTCTTTTATTTCAGGGTAACTCACCAAGATTAAGAAAAGCATTCTCCAAATCTCCCTTAACCTCCTTCTTGATGCTCTCCAACATATCATATGGGCTGTAGCTCTTGTACCTTTCAAACACTATCATAAGAAAGAAAAGAGGTGAAACCAAAAGCAGACCAAGAACTGGTAAAAGTAACCATCCAAATCAAAAACATAGCAACAGCAATGCAGAGACACATGATTAAAAAAATAGCTATCTGTCCTGAGAACTTTATCTTAAGTACAGCCTAAGTTTGTCAGTAAAGTTCCCATGCTATGGCTTTTTTGTTTTCCCTGAACACCTCCATAATCTGGTAAAATATCATCTTAATTCTGCACTAATATTTTTTGAAACAACAGTGACTTAGGCCCTGAAAAGAAAAGTCTTCAAACGGCTTTCCCATGTGCTGTGTACAGCAATATCAGAGCTGCTTTTGAGAGTCTTCACTGTCACATTTAAACGCATAATATAGCTAAGCTAACCTAGGACAGAGGGAAAAGCTAAAGGACTTCTCAAGGTCTCCTGCAGCCATGTTTTCTAGATTTGTAACATTTCTATTGTCATTGTACTTGGAACATAACTGAGCACTTTTATACTTGTGTAAAAAAGAGCTCTACACAAATTCAAACTGTGAGATTAACACATTCAGAGAAATAACTATGTTTTTTTAAAAAATTATCAGCTTAGACATGAATTAAGATTTATGAGATCTCCTATGTTTTATGAGTGCTTTTCATATTCACTTCAATCATATCTGGGATGAAACAGTTACCACTTTGGTATAATTTCCTCTTAAGAGGAAAAAAATTTATCTGTCTCTTGAACAGTACCTTTCTGCAGGTGGGGGACACTTCTTTCAGTCATAATGTTGATCCACTTGGGGACATCAGTTCCCTTCCTCTTCACACCAGCATCATAGAGCTCCTGGGATTAGAATGAAAAGCAGAATCATGAAAATCAGGAGCTACACAAGAAGCCATCCCAAATGTATGCAAGTTCCTTACTGGAAAACAAGCACTACTAGAAATGCGTCAGTGGGAGAAATACAAAAGGACACATGATTCGGCAGGCCACCAGGACAAGATCAATGGATCTCATCTGAAACTAAGACTTTTTATTTACCTCTATGTACTGGTTTTACTCTGTATTTAGCTCCGTTTACCTCAGTGGAACTGGTCTTGACAGATACAGATGTAGTAGGACAGATACAGATGTAATAAAGAAGTGTTACCAGCCACTAAGTTCAATGATACTTCTCTCAATCTTACACAATTACTTGGTTGCAACCAGTCTTCACAATATATGCATTTCTTTTCCTCAATGTGCCTAAGGGAAACACCAGAGAGCCTCTGTATGGGTACTAGTGGGCAAGTACCCTGTGAAAACTGATAACTGAAGGTATCAGGATTGCAAGTGGCAGATACCTTGATAGCATGCAAAGATTACTGTGCAAGACAATCTGAAATATACACTTCTACTTTCATAAATACTTCTCACTCCCATAGCATTTGTACTTTCAATATCCCCAAAAGCTTGATCAACTTAAGACATTTAATGGTCATTACCAGCACTTACCCTAGCATCTTGGTCAATTAGCTCATAATCAATCACAGAGGTATCTTCACACCTTTTGCCCTTCAAACAAGGACAGCAGTATTTAGAAGAGGTTTAATAGACAATAAGCAGTTTACTATATGCATATTCTTTTATCTTTGATTTTTTTTTTAATCTGAATTTGCTAAATGAGTAACAGTATGCTCCACCCTCATTATGAAGCTGCTGCTATGAATGCTGATTTTTGTCAAAATACTTTGCCCTTGAACACTTGAATATTTTTTTTTTCCCCAAAAGACAGTGAAAATACAAGTAAATTTAAAAGTTAATTAGAAATTCAGTTGTTTTACTGGCAGTCATCAGTCAGTTACCAAAGGCCAGGCACATTAGGGAAAGTGGAAAAATATGAACAGACTTACCTTGGCCAGGGCAACCATTAGCTTGCGGAAGTCACCAGATGTGTCTGATATAATGTCCTTTTCCAGTTCTGTTTTGTACACTAGAAAACAAAAAAATATTTTCAAGTGAATGGTATCCTACAAATACTCCTTCACAATGAGAACAGCTGCTAATTGCTGTGTTTTATGGACGTAAACAAACAGCTACAATCTAAGTCACTTGTGGAAGACAACGAAAACAAATGCATGCTTGCACACAACAAAATCAACATCACTACCAGCTAGTCATGAGAGTGCCCATGCAATCAAAAGTCTGTCATGGAAACGTAACAGGAAAGCCTGAGACTGTTAAAAAGAAGGGAATATTGTTTTAAGCTCAATATCCTGTTAGAGCATTCTTAGCTACCAATGAATGTTTGCTTGTTTGATAAACAGCAATTAGGCCTTCTGTGCTCTTGGATTTCTAACTGCAATTACAAGTTTAATGCAAAAAACAAAAGCTGTTACAATCAATCACAAGAATGCTGTGTGTGATTCTGGTCTGGTGTCTAAACATTTTCATTGCTTTCCAAGTAGCAATACTCTATATTGCTACACAACCACGTTCTCTCTTCTTTTCAACAGCAACCTAATCCACAGCAGCAACATTCTCTCTGCTGAAACATGTTTTTTTTTTTTTTTTTATACCAGCCTTTAAGATGACACTGGTTTTGCTTGTCCTTTTTGACTCAGCCAACACCTTACCAGAACTGCTTGACAACTATTAAGCATTAGCACACAGCAAATTTCAGTCTATTCGTGGTGAAACTCAACTCAGGGAAACAAACAAGCACTGGACAGCTGCACTACTGAAGTGCAATAAACCCAACGACAATTGCCAATATAAAAAATTAAGGAATGTTAAAGGAAAAGTATTATTTTTTGAGAATGGATCTTAGATCACTATTACATCTGCTTATAATCAACTAAGAATTATAGCTTCAATCAGATAACATGCTTTAGAAAAGCTGAAAACCAGAACAAATGCTTTTATGAAATTGTATTTAATGTCTTTTCTAGCAGGTCTCCTAAATAAATTTACAAGCATGTTTCAGGAGATTTCACATTCACTTACTTATTACATAATTGATCCTAGAATCCATAAATCTAACATCATTAATTCTGTCATTATGCACAGGATGCATGTAGCTTACAGAAAAAAAAAATCACATTTAGACACAACTTATATGAGTAGTAAGTGTTTTCCAATTTGTATGCTACCAAGGAACAAGATGAAACTACATAAAGGCACTTAAATATCCAGGACACCAGTACAAAATAGTATATTATGTCCCACTGCCAGAGAATGAAAGCAGATGTTGTGTAAGGGCCTCTAATAATTAAATTCACACTGAGAACTTATCCAAGTAACTTAGTGTGAAAACATAGTACATCAAAACTTTCAAAGTGAACTTACTTTCCCTGTAGACTCTGTTAATTTCACTAAGCTCCTGATTTGTTCGTGAGCAGATGATTTCAATGAGTGTGTCCTCATCAGTTCCCAGACCCTGTAACACACGTATATGATCCAGTTAGGTGCTGGAAATGAACAGGCATGCTGGAATGGTTTAAAAATATTTTACAGACATCTTTCTCTGAATCTAACAGTTTCACAACCATTCAGGGATATTTTTTGCTAACTATGCCCAAGAAACCCCAAATGGAGCATTTTCAGTTGCCAAATACTACTCTGATAGCTTTGAGATCCTGCAGGTGTCATCTCTGGGCAATGTGCATTTGCTGTGAGTGTCTGTAACGCTCCGTGGCCCGTCCATCAGCATAACTGGCTGAGGTCAACTTATCACAGATCCCTGTGTGATTGTTTTCTCTCCACTGAGAGCACAAGAAGAAAATCTGATTCTTAGCATGCAAAAAGGCAGCAACCAACTTGTACTTCCCTTCTTTTCTTCCCCACCTTCCTCCATACAACTCCTCCACTATAAATGCAAATCCAAGGATGACACCATCATTAGCCTTGGCCTTGTCTCCAAGTCAGCAAAGGTTTCAGCATGTTCTGAATTTCTAGCTAATAAATAGCCCCTCTTGAATTGTCTGTATTTTCCATGTACTTCACAACACATTTGTGTTTCATTACAAATACAGATGAAATGTTACTATTAGCTATATTAATATTAAGAAATAAATGTATTTAGTATGACAAACTAGATATTAAGATTTTATATATTTTTAACAAGCTGAATTAATTGAGAGGTCATATAATATTTCAAGCCACTTCTGTGATCAAGGTCAATGAAGAATCAGTACTTTGAACTAAGCTGCATTACTACTGTTTAAAAAATATAGGTATTAGCACTATAACAAAGTTATAAACCACATGGAAATGTATCAGCTATCAATTAAACGTAATAGTAACTCAGATACTCCAAAAATTGTGGCTTGAACAATGTGCTCTAAACCTTGTTCAATTATTTTCTATAGATAAACAGCCAAATTAAAAATTAAATTAAATTAAAAACTGCAATATTCTTGTTTCTGGAGAAGGACAGGAAACGCAGAAGGATAGGTTCAGAACAGAAGGCTAACTTGGATGAGCTGAAGATGCTTCTCTCTCCAGGGACCACTGAGGATGTCTGGGGTTACTAGCTGGTAAAGCCATCTGGAAGCCAGGTGCCTTAGTATTTTGAAAATAATTCTTTTGAAAAATAAATTCCACTGGTAATTTTTTTTTCATTCTCTTTTATTTCTTACCTACCAATGAACCACATTCATGCCAATCTCATTAGTCTCATCTTCCAGCATCACCAGCAGAAAGAAAAAACATTCCTATACCTCCTGTTAGGATGCTGTTTGTTAAGCCCCTCTGTAACCAAACACCATTTCGTATGTGGCAATAATGGACAAGGTTTGCACAGGACTCCAAGAGGAGTCTGCTGGGTACCATCTTGGGACAACTTCTCATGCTGCAGTCTTTCACATGTGGAAAATTGAGGTAACTATGTAGAAAACTACCCTCTTGGAAAAAGTGTCTCTACTGAAGGGGAAGGAAAAGAAAGAAAAAAAAAAAAGAGAGAGGACTAAAACCAAGTAATTTAAAAAATGGTTCATAGCTAAGAGAATTAGGAAAGCTTTCACAGTCATTCTAATAAGTATCTGGGGAAGAAATGAAGGATAACAAAATTTAATATTTTCTAAGTATTTTTTAAAATATTTAATAAGAATGTGTACCAGAAAAAAGGATTTAACTCTTCAATGATAACTCTGCTTTACTCAACTTTGATTCCCACGTTACAGCTTATTATATCAAGTCAAACTTAAGCTCAGGAAAATTGAGAACATTAGACTAGATGCTTGGGAGTTGGGAATAGCTGATCTATGAAGAGAACAGAATATTCTACAATTGTGGCTACTCTGAGGTAATGGCTTGGGCCGTAAATACAGCATGAATGCTATTTAAGTATGTGGTCATACTAAATAAAACAGATCAGATTTGAGGCATTTAAAGAAACAACAAAACAAACCCAAACAAACAAACAAACAAACCTCCCCAAACCCAAACACAACAAAAACCCCCAAACCAAACGAATCCTACTCACAGTAAATTATGGATAGCCTCTACTTAAACCAGAAGAGGGCAGCATCTAATTACGCAAATATCCATACTGGGTTAGTTTTTTGGGTTTCGGGTTTTTTGCAGTGGTGGTTTTGTTTGCTTGTTTGTTTTTTAACTCCTTTTTCACAGTCTGGAAAAATTAATTAATTATTTTTGTCTTGTTCTGAATTCTGACAGACAAATTTTAATATTTGTTTTTTAATTCTTAAAAAAACCTAACTAATCAAGAACATTAAGAATTTAAGTTATGATTAGAAATATGAATTCCCAAACCTTACTTTGCTTAGAAAGGTGAATGCACTTGCATGAGCAACTCTCAAAGTCTTGCTTCAGTGGCCTGCAGAGCGGGTATTTCTAAACTAGCCATCTATTCCACACTTGCCTGTGCTTGTACAGGACTGAACAGTAACTCACTGCTGCACTGTTTCTCCAGAGGCTGCTTTTGACGCCCCATCCTGCTCATGTTCTATACAGAAGCAGGTCTGGTACAGAATGTTCTGTCAAGATCAATGATACGACCCAGTAACTGGAAACTACTGTTGAAGCCTGTAAATGCTAGCAGAGGATTTAATGGCTCCTGCTAACAGCTGCCCTCTTAATGGTTCTTTGTACTATGACCTTATCTATTGTTTTTAAGAGCAGTCAGCAAAGCATAGAGCCTATCGGTTATTCCTGACCTGATGAAAATTATTTTTTCTGTGAAGAGAGGATTTAATTAACATTTTAAAATCACATGGTTCCAGAATTGCTCATTTCGGATGCCTTGCAGGTGGATACTTAAACTGTAGTACTTAAAAAAAAAATAAAAAAAAATCATTGTACATGTTTGAAAACTGTGGCCTTGGATATGAAGTCCATACTCACTCTTGTGACAGTGATGTTAGACTAACATTCTTAAATTTCAAAGCTCGTTTACCTTCATGGCAGCTTTCAATTCAGAGGCATCATACTGTGCTGGTGTCTTCAGCAAGCCCAAGATCACTGCCTCCAAATGACCTGACAGAGCTGACTTGAGCGCTGCAGAAAGTTCCTGTAAAAAAGGAGGGATGATGGGGGAAAAAAAATAAATTAAAGTTCACTTCTGATCTCCAGAGAATTTAGCCTGTAGTGCTTTAAGTCTCAAAACCTGCAATAACGTTTTTTACACAACTGACAAGGAAACAGAACATGAAGAGCTTCTCTTTTGTGAAAGCCTAAGAAAGAAATTAGGGCAAAGGAATTTTTTCTCATCCTTTGAAAATACGAAAAAAATCTATTTGGTGGCTGACAAAGTGCTAAGAAGCATGGTGCAGATACATCTGAACAGCTCCGCTCCAGTCCTGAAGCACTGACACTTGGCTGGAGCTAATAAGCTCAGACCGATCTGAGTTTGACTGCCTGTGATCCGTGCTTCTCCATCATATTCCCACAGTTTTCCCAGGAGCACTGTATTTTGTGCTTTCCCTATTATCCCAACCCTTTACTAGCTAAGACATCGGAAAACTGACTATGCCGTTATTCCACTGTGCAGGCCCAGTTCCCAAACATCTAGCTGAAGAGAAAAAATTATCCCTGAGCACAGAAAAATCAGCCCTGTCTTCAAGGAAACTATCAGAATTGTGCATCCAAAGTCTATTGTTGATTGTCAGTCACTCCTAGAGAAAGAAACATTCAGGTGTGTTCACTTCACAGGATGCATGCAAATCTGCAGCAACTGAAAGTCAGAGGCATGCCCTCTGTTACAAGTTTTGGATGCAACTTGAATAATGCTAATATCAGCTTCATTGTAGTGTAGTTACAAAGTTGAAATCCCTGGGATCAAGTCTGGGGTTCAGACAGATCAATGTATTCCCTAAGCTGAAGTTGAGTCTGTAGCATTCAGAAGAGAACTGCTGCATTTCAGTTGCTGGTTTCTACACTAACAATTTTTGAGTCTGACGGGTAGGAGGAAAGAGGGTAGAGAAAGCAAAACTGCAGAGAAGTTTGTGCCAGAGAGATGAAGAGCTGAGGCATTTAGTTCATTTCTAGAATCACTAATCTAATCCAGGGCACTAGTATATGCTTATACTGTATGCACCTACTGCATGGATTGACCAAGATAGTGAATGGAAGTTTTGGGTATCTAGCTGCTTTTGTCTAACAAATGTTTTAGTGCAATAACTCAGTTTTGGATACAATGTTCCATCATTTATTTGCATGAAGACAGGTTCTTCAAACATCAGCTGAAACAGCAAAGATACTGCATATCTTCATAATAAATTTTAAGACAGTGTCATGAATTCCAACTAGGTGAGTAAAGTTTCTGCAGTCTTTGCATGTTGGTGTGAAGGCTGAAGGAAATACAAATCACTACAGCAGGATTTATCAAAGTAACTGCAACAAAACACCTGAAACTGAATCAAGCACCTGCCCTCGTATTAGCAGGCTTCTGGAGAATTAAGGTCCTCTCCCCCTGCCAGAAAAGCAGCGTCTCCACTCCGTGGTTCTCTGCCATGGCTAGAAGCGCTCTAAGAGAGAAGTGGGAAGCAGACAACTGACAAATATCATTAATTTATAAATAACAAAGAGAAAAGGTTTTATTAAGTGTTCCAAAAGAGCATCTGGATATTATCAGCTTATTTCAAAGTTAGAGATTATTGGTGGCAGTTAGGACTGACCAGACACACAGGCAGAACCCCCAGTATCCATTAATGCTAGTGATGGGGAAAGGCTGCATGGATCAAACACCATTCCTCAAGATTACCAGTGGTTTCCATTAGACTCAACTGAAAGGAGTGAAAAGAGAAGTAGATCTGCGACTTTTTACTATTATAATGATCTACTGAGAAATTCTGCAACACACAAAATTAGCAGCCTAGTACAACACAACACATTGCCAAAGAAAATAATGGGATACTGACCCTAGAAGATATACCTTACATGTCTTTTCACATCCCACTTCCTCCTCTCTTGCCATTAACTTATTTCACTGAGGGGTTTCTAACGCAAATTTCCGTTGTTTCTACAGACTGTTTTATTCTTTGGCATTTGTTAAATTTGACAAATTCAGTTTGCTCTTGGGTCATAGCAATGAATATAGGTGAAACAGATGAAAAAAGTTGCAGATTTTCTTGACTGTGCATTTTTGTGGTCGTGCAAAACATCAAAGCTTTAAGTGACGCATTTCATTACCAGGGTCCACTTATATGCATGATGCTGCCAGTTCCCACAGGGCGTGACCACCAGGGTGCAGCTGGGTGCACACATGCATGCGTCCAATTTACGTGTGCTTCTGCATGTGCCTGTATCAGCCATGCATAAAAGTCAGTGAATTCCCAAAATTTAACTCTAGATTTACATTTGGCTTCAGATGAGCACTCTGGGCTGCTATTGGAGGACTACCATTTGAGGTCTGGCAAACCTGAAAGAGATACATTCATCATAATCCTAGCTCTATATAAGTTTCCTCTTTTTTGTGGGCATAAAACTTCAATTATAATAAGATTCTCAGAACTTCAAAGGTCAAGAGAATAGCTCTGGCTTTCCAGATAGCAAGACTCATTATGCAGAATTCTGCACATATTTTCCAGATTTCTCTCCATCAATAGATCAGTACATAAGGTATTTCTGACAGGATAATATAATACCTAGAGACAGCCCAACTCATTGTATCACTTTGTTCCATATCTGCAGCATTAGGGGCACAACTGACTGCAGTCTTTTCTCATTGAAGCTAGCTCTGTGAACAGAAGCAGAACTTTTCCTTATGGTGAGTTGTCTTAAGGGAAAAAAAAAACCTCCTCAATCCCCTAAAGCATCTCCCTTTCATCTTTTCTTCCAAACTAAGGCATTTCACATCAATGGCTTCTCACTCTTGTTTAGCATATTTCACTAGGGAATCCTGTGGCTGGCTGGCTGATACATCACCCATCCTGATTTTTGGAGGTACTAGGAAACCAGATTTGAGTCCCAGTTGTGCATACTCAACAAATCTGGAACTCCCACCACTCCAAAGGGACAACGGGCACAAGCTGGAACACAGGAGGTTCCACTTAAACATGAGGAAAAACTTCTTTACTGTGAGGGTGCCAGAGCCCTGGGACAGGCTGCCCAGAGAGGGTGTGGAGTCTCCTTCTCTGGGGATGTTCAAAACCTGCCTGGACGATTTCCTGTGCAATCTGCTCTAGGTGAACCTGCTTTGGCAGGGGGGTTGGACTAGATGATCTCCAGAGGTCCCTTCCAACCTGTGATTCTGTAAACTGTGACAGCATGGACAAAGTAGATGCATCTTTAATTTCAGTGAAAAGATAAACCAAGTAATACTTATCTCCAGTTTACACTCAATTAACTGTGAAACATGCAAACCCTGAAAGATCTAACTGTCCACAAGAAAAATATTCAGCATGTGGTATCCTTATTTTGCTACCTTTTTGGTTCTCCTCTGATAGGCAAAAGCAATGTCCTGCCTCTGTTCATTGCTGCGGTTTGTCAGGATGTTGATGATGGTGACCTCATCCACACCTACAAAGACATAAGATGAAGAGTTAAAGAAGCTTTCCAGTTACTGCCCTCCTAGTACTAACATGTTTTCCAGCACTCAAAACATAGCATATGTGCTGTCTGGAGCAGAGCTCAACAGCTCTCATTAGTTAGTATATGTCATGTCCTGGCCTTGGAGAAAGGGCAACCAATTACAGCCCAAATTTTAATGTGATGCAGATCTTTTTGTGCACAGGTACGAATACACCTCAACAAAGTCTAGTCTGTGACCAGCTTTGCTACTTCTGTTTTCTGCTACACTTGTGTGTCTGTGTTACTTGCGTTCAGTCACTCAGTATTCTGCAAAGCAAGCTGCTCAAGAACACAGCTTTAAAACTGACAGGAACTTGTACTTACTAAAGCCTGCCCTGTCATTTTGGTAGAGTGTTTTCAATTAAAGCTTCTTAATAAAGCAGTTATATTTTCTATTTAACTCATAGTCAATTACCTATCATTCCAAACATAAAAATGGGAAAACAAAACAGTATATTTCATTCTCTCGGTGGCTCAGAAGACAGAAGGTTTCTTTTGACAACAGAAGAACTACATACGCGCTACTTTTTTTTTTTAAATCATCACTCAAAGATCCATGCTGAGTTTTAACTAGCATGCCTACAGCACTTGAACACTCGGAATTCCAGCCTATTTTTTTTTTAAGTAAGTGAACTACATATCAGTAAAGGTTTGGTTTTAAGTGAAGTTTTCCAAATCCATGCACTTAAATGCAACTGCAAGCTGAATGCAAGGAGATCATTAAGTTTTATTGTAAATTAAAAGCCTAAGCATGCATCTGGGGTTAGATACCCTGGCTGTCAATAGAACCTAATGCACACTATAGCTTTAGAACCTGTAGAGGTCATCAATGCAGGTCAACACATACAGAGAAAAACACAGGAGTCTACATTTATTTTCCCCCTTACCCAAAGCAGCATCACAGTGACTTGAAAAAAAGGACTGCAACAGATATTATAAAATTAATCATATGAAGTGTGAATGTTGCAAAAGATCTTTTAGCCCCTAACTACAGAATCAAAAATGATGAGTCAAACTCAAAATTCCTTTCTCCCTCTTCTCCACATTTTTCATGGTGAAATACTGTACTCGATAGCCTGATGTCCTCAGCTCATGCTGAGGCAGACCTACATCAGTGCTCTTACTCACACAAGCTTGTCCTGCAAGAGTCAAAAAGCCCTGGAAAGCATCACCTCTTAGTTACAAATTTTAGTTTGAAGACATGCTGATTGCACATTTCAGCCATAATCTACTCCTGCACATTCTAAAGTCTTCTCATTTTATAAAAGAAAACAAATTCTCCCAGTCCAGAAAGAGCCACACACAGACAGATACACAGACACTGGGGCCTTTCAGCTCTTGCAGGGCCACAGCATAATCCAGTGTCTTAAGATTTTTAATAAATTCCAAATTTAAACTATTCTTGGCATTCTAAATCAGTAAATCACATTTTCAAGTTTTAGCACAATTGTAATAGATTAGAAGCCCACAAATTACTGCATCCAAGTCTGCCTCATATGCTTTGTAGATGGAAATACGAAGTTAACTCATTGCTCTGGCATTTAATGGAAAGAAAGTGCTTGTACTTCACACTTGGGAATCACGTTGCACGGACAGGATGCTGACTCACATCTGCTGAGGTGGGGTGGAGCAGGAGAGCAGCTCAAACATTTTTATTTGCTTTTCACTACAATCTCTGGAAGTTGCATGGTAATGAAACAAAAGTTTATTTCTAAATTTATTCTGGCTAGGCACATTTCTATCAGTGCATTTCTACCAAGGGGCAACTAAAAATTAGACATTGTAGCTCACAGGTTTTTTTAAAACAAGAAAATTCCTTGCAGATGGAAATGTATTTGACAGGGGAGGAAAAAAGTAGATCTTAAAAAAACTCTCTCTGATTACTAACAACTTTAATTGTTAAAAGAGGCAATCTGTTGCATTGTTAAGATCGCAGTGTTATGACTCAATCGGCACAAAAAGAGGAAATTAACATAACTAAAAAGACCACTTAGATTTTTTTAAATTTTTTTTGTTTAAAAGACACTGTACTTGAATTTCCATGAGGAAAAAAAACCAGCATCAACATTATTCTGAACAAAATGGATGATATGGACAGCCACTTAACTTTCTAGAATGAGGTGAGAACAGAGCTAACACACTTCCATTTTGCAAGAGCTGGTATACATTCATTCAGCTCATTTACTAGAAGTCTGTTCTGTTAAATTTCATTTTCAAAGACAGAGTGGACAGAATACCAGAAGCTATTTCTGTCCTAACAGCATCTAGGTACCACAGAGATCATCAATCTACATGAATGAATGCAATGCGATTGCAGCTGGGCTCAAATTATTAGCGGGAGATGTATGTGATTAGCCTTTGTGAGACGTCAACACCATCGTGTGTCTGGTACCAACAATCTTATGACTATTTGACTGAGCTCACAATCTGCAGCGTCTCATTTTCCGTGGATAAAAGCCTGATCCCACTGGAGTCAAAGAGAAAAAATTAGATAAAATAAGACATAATTTCAGCTCTCCTGTTTTGCTTAGCAAGATTTCACAAAACCCAAACCATGTTGCAATGAGGTATTTCTTTACTGATACTATTAATATTCTGAATATCTGACTGATGCAGTTTGGCAGATTTCAGGCACTATCCTTCCCCACCAGCATGCTAACAGATTTCCTCTGAACTTTTACTTCATAACATTAAAAACTCTGTTAAAAGGTATAGGCATGTTGGATATACTACATAAACAGTGAATTCAGTCTTACAGAAGACCCCTGTTATGGTTTACTCCTCATCACTGTTTTATCAGTTTCTGGATACATCAAATTTATTATATGTTCTAAGCACTTTCCTACAACAAACCTGTGTCTGAATTCTGCCAGTCATGTAATAAAAAAGTATACCGTAAGACCTCAATAAAACCCACATATATATCTTACAGAGTTCATATTTTAGCAGATTTTCTGAATTAGCAGATGAAAACATCCAAGCATTCAACGTGCAAGGAAACACTACCTAGAAGAAGGGTCCTAACACTCTTGTTCTTTATTTCCCCCATGAATACTTCCTTTGAGAGAGTCTTAATGGTGGAAGACTCAGTATTAAAACCATGAAGAGATTCTCCCCTTTGCAACCACCTTCCCAGAAAAGCTCCTGGATAACACGCTAATAAATGCAGACAAACTCAATCCTACGAACATGCAGGTCCATTAATAAGTTTCCCTACTGTTTTTTCAAAAGGTTGGGAATCATCTCACTGACAAAATATTTCTATGTATCCTAAAATCAAACTCAGCAAACTGCTTATCTTTGCTGGAAGAAAGTGAAAAAATAACAAGAGCTTAACTTTCCTGACTGGCAAAGCTTTTGTACTGCCTAGGATATTGCAATTTCCCTGCAATCAACAGCTTGAGTGTTAAAATGTGTAAATTTGTACCTATCCTGAAAGTCTGACAGTATATTTGACATGTTTAGATTTGCCCTATAATCAGAGCTGTAAAAAGCCTAAAGAAAATTCTACATACACACAAAGCATCTTCTGCCAAATATGATGACATTTACTCCTCCCCTGCAAGAGGATTTTTAAAAATAAAAACAAACTATAAAATGATTCAAAATCAGAACTGAACCTACTTTAATGTGCAGACAAGGGATTTCTCCAGTTAGATTAAGAAATCTTGCAAAAGGAAGCCTCATGCTTGTTAGGGAGGGGCAATATTTTATATTTTATAGCAAGTCAAACATGTGCTTTGTTGGCAATGATGGAAGATGCTGCATTTCTTTCCGATGAGAAACTTGTTTGGCTTTTAAATTTCTCCCTCTCCTGACATGTAGGCAAAAGACTTGGCAGTTCCAGCTACGCCCAGCTGTTGCTTCTCTGGCCTGGAAGAAGTCAGTGAGGTGTGGCACACCCTTTCATTATTACAGAGCAGGACAAGGACAGAGGATTACTGCCAAGCTATTACTCCAGAGCTGTAGTTCAGACTGTACTCCCGATTGTTTCGGTGTACCAGGCTTTTCCATGCAGCTCCATCTATCCCCTGCTCCATTATGGTCTCCTACCACTCAGTGGAAGTGGTGGATCAGAGATGGAAGCCTACCCAAGAGCTTGGCTCAGAGAAGCAGAGGACTCTCACATTGCCCTGCCCCTGAAATACTGCAACATCATTTCAGAAACTAGATTCTGTTGCATCTAGGACTTTCTTTGACCCCACATTAATACATGATAAATGAGCATTTAGTTCAAAATCCAGGAAAAAATGTACAAATTATCCCTATTCAGCTGGCCAGAGTTGAAAGGAAGAAGCAATGTCCAAGCCAATAATCCAGTAGAAATCCATGATTCAGAGCTTGATCCCAAGTCACCACCATAAAAGTTGATACTTATCAGTGGCAGAAAAGTAGTAGAATTTGAAGTACTCATGAATCAAGAGAAGAAAGCGGACATTTTCAGTGATAACCTCAACTCTTGGCTACAAACTTCAAAATCATATTCAAAGTATGCATTTACAGAGTTCAAAATCTAACTCAATCAAGATTTCAACAGTAAGGTCTAGAAATCAAATACCTTGTGAAATAGGTATCCTAGAATAAGGATATCAAAATGTTGGTCTTGAGACACCGTTTGGTTTTTTTAGAAGGTTTTTTTTTGTTTTTGTTTTTTTGGGGGGGTTTTTTTTGGCACCCCAGCCATTCTATCAAAAGTAGAATCAAAGCCACAACTCATGTTCCTCACCTTTGGTCTTGATGGCTGTTTCCAGGGCTGCAGCATCCCGGTCAGCATCAAAATTTGAGTAGGCCTTAACTGTGGCATATGCACTTGGTGGGAGAGAATGCTAGAAGAGGAGGAAGAAAAACAACCTCAAATTTAAATCATGTAATCCTGTCCTTACTGCAGTTAATAAGACACATGCTTCTTGGTTAACTGCTATTTAGCCAATTTTTTAAATACAAGAACTACCAACAGATATCTGTGAAAATGGAATTCTGCTATGACCCACCAAACTCTGTTCTCCCGATGCATACTGTCCAGAAACCCACTCACAGCCATGCTTATTATAACAAATAATATATATAAACAGGTATTATATATTGTTGCAGCAAAAACCCAATACATTCCAAGTTGGTTTTTTTTTTCCCCAAACCTCAGTCTTCTAAAATCTGCAGTTTTGTGGCTTGATCTGAAAGAAACTGACTACAGAAAGCTAACTCAAAGTTTAAGTATCTGCCATGAAAGTCTGAAGTATTTTAGATTTGAAGGCAGTATTTTACTTTGGATTACAGGCTACAATTGAGAAAAAAAAGTAGAGGGAGATGGAAGATTAACAATGAGTAACTCGGAACAAGTTTTGTGCCCTATCTCATGAACTTTAAAAGTAACACCAAAAAAAATCTTTTTAAACCTATAGTTCTACAAAGCAGAAGTACTCACAATATACTTTTGAAACTATGCCTGCAGATACTTGGTTTAAGCAGCATGAGGCTAGCAACACCAAATGACACTTTAAATTACCTCTGCTAAGAATAAGAGGACTTGCAGGTAAGTTCACTTAGTAAACAGGTGCAACATTTTAGAAGTTACCAGATTTTATCAGCTGTCCTCTCCTGAAGATTACAGCTTCAAATAGGAAGTCACCAGAACAGAAATACAACTCTTCTTAGCTGCTCAGTGCAAGCTAACAGTTTAGCTTGTATCACCTCCCAGGGCAGGTTAAACTAAACCACAGATTTTCATATAAATAACAGAGACCTCTTCACAAATCCCACTCTGCTGAGTTCAGTTTAGAGACCTAAACCTCTGACAGGAAGGTGTAATGACTAACACTTGAAATTGCCATAGCTGTTTCACAAGTGAATGAATGGCTAAACTTTCTTGGCAAAGAACCCCAGAAACTTTTCATAGAATCATAAAATGGTTTGGGTTGGAAAGAACCTTAAAAATCATGTAGTTCCAACCCCCCTGCTATGAGCAGGGACACCCCCCACTAGGCCAGGTTGCTCAAAGCCTCATCGAACCTGGCCTTGAACACTTCCAGGGAGGGGGCATCTACAACTTCTCTGGGCAACCTGTTCCAGTGTCTGACCACCCTCACAGTAAAGAATTTTCTTCCTAATATCTAATCTAAACCTGCCCTCTTTCAGTTTAAAACTGTTACACTCATCCTCTTACTAAATACCCTTGTGAAAAGTCCCTCACCACCTTTCCCGTATGCCCTAGGAACTGGGAGGCAGCCATAAGGTCTCCCTGGAGCCTTCTGTTTTCCAGGCTGAACAACCCAACTCTCTTGGCCTGTCCTCATAGGAGAGGTGCTCCAGCCCTCTGATCATCTTCGTGGCCCTCCTCTGGACTTGCTGCAACATGTCTCCAACTCCAACAGAAAGCCAGGTTCATAAACAGGACTAAGCTATCTTAATCTCTCTGGAGGATCTTTTTACATGCAAATTGTTAAAAGCAGGACAAATTTTAACTAAAAACATTCCATGGTCTTCCACTACACTTGTTTCTATCCTGTAGAGGTCACACTGTCCTGAACAGATTCCTCTGGCAGCAACCACTGTGCCTTTTTGAGACAGTCTGGGTTATGCTGTGGAGACGGGAAGACAAAAAAGCACTGATAAACTGAACCATTCTTTCTTTTGTCTCTTACCATCAGCTCAATCTAGCAAAGCGGCCCCAGTCTGGCCCACAGCCACACCACAAAACACAGTCTTTCCTGTTAAGCAGATCATATTGCTAACAGAAACAGTAAATGGAGATGTGCCTTAGAGAAATCTGTGTGCCTGAAAGAGTCCTAAACCAAAGCACATTAGTATATACAATCATGTGGCACTTCTACCTAATTAATCAGCACTGCTGGATAATCTGAAGCAAGTCACCTTGCGAGCTTGGCAGAGTTGAGTACCTCTCTTTCCCCCCAGCTCTAAGTATTTACTGAGTCATTTGGACACAGTATTTTAATGTAAGATTAAAATACTGAGAAAATACACAGCATATTTGCAAACTGGGAGCCATCTTTTCCTCTGTCCTTCCACCCAATGCATGCAACATGTTGGATTCAGATCTCCTGATACTGGTCAAAAGAACCTAGAGTGTTATATACATATGTACACCCAGGAAAGACAGAAACCTCTGCTGGCTACTCTACCTGTAAATGGACTATCTTCAAATTCAGCATGCACAAAGATTAGGCTTTACTCTCTCAGGTCTTGAGTTCTTCAGTGGAACAGACACAGGTCTTATCAGGGTGATTATTCTGTCTATGAAAAACAACTATTTAAATTCCAGACTATATGCTCTCAAATTACCCTGGTACACTACTGTACCACAGTACTGGCACTGTATGTTTGCAGATAAGAGGGTTTTTCCAACTAACTTTCCATGTAGTTCAATACAAATTTTTCCAGAATGTGGCAGTACAAGTCCAGCTAAAGCGTAACTGCACAAGCAATCTGTGTCATACTAAAGCAGAGAAAGATTTTTCTTTCTCCCTACACATGCTTCAGAGGTCCTCCAACTGGTTTACTTCCTCCGAGCTTGATTAATTCAATCCTACTGGGAAGAGCAGAGCATATATAACAGGAAAGCTGAAGAGGCTTAATTTCTTGAAAAAAAAAAACAAAAAAAACAAAACAAAAAAAACCCCACAAAAAACCAAAAAAACAAAAAACAAAACCAACCCAGGACCCTTTCTACATCTCAGTATTCCTTGTACTGGGAAAAAAAAAAAAATAAGAATCATCAGTCACATTTGAAAACTGAGTAACCTGACATCATCTGGCAAGTAACCTATAAAGTCTTGACTAAATAAAATATAGGCTTCCAATTCTCAGTGCAAAGATGGAGCATATGATGAAGCATAACAGTAAGATCTTTATTACAGAATCTTTCTATACTCTCTTGTGGATAGATGCAGAAACTGCAAGCATAGATGAACTTTAGCTCAACTCCCTCCCTTCCTTAAAGGAAGGGGAAGATTACACCAGGCTGAAGCAAGGTGGCCAGTTTCTTCATCTTGAAACAAATCAATTGCTGTACCACTGATGCAGTCCTTACTGCGCAAGACAGGACTTGGGTTCAGCTGTGACCATTCTATACCCTCAAGGTTAAAAACTTTTTGAGAAAAATGGATGGTTGAAGTACTGTGTTTAACATCAATTAACTTGTTGAATCATTGCTTAGGGGAACTGAGGAAATCCTTTTTCAAACTAGCTTAAGATCTACAGAACAAACCAGCTGCCTGAAATTTCTTACACTCTACGGCAGGATTTCTGATGAAAATGCTGGCATGGAACAGTATTCAAATTTGACTTTTGCAACTACTCACAGGCATCATGGAAGAAACATTTCTGCCCTTGAGAACAGATTGCTCAAATATTACTCCAAAAGTAATTCTCTGTTGAAACAAACAGAGCCAAGAAATCTGAAGAGCTGACTGCTTTTGCAGTACAAAATGCGCTTTGCTACTTACCTACAGTGCACTATCCAGTCCTTTGCAACAGCTCTTTCACAAAGATCAGATGGTATAATGTATTTTGCAACAAGTAACAAAAATAGGCAAAAAGTTTGCTTGTACCAAGCTCAGATCTGGAGTTACTGGCTATAAAGTATAGCAAGTTTATAAGCAACATGATGAAATAATGTATGGATAAGATTCACTTCCTCTTTGGTGACAAACACAGAAACCACAAATTCATGGCATGATACCCTGACACTACACTGCTAACCCTACCATTTAATGTTGCAACATAAGAAATCAAACAAAGAGTGTGGCTTTCTGGTATTTCAATAAAACTATGAAACAAATGCAGATGCAGTGGAAAATACATAATCAAACCCAAGATTCTTTACACTTTTCAAAACAGAAAATGAGAAAAGACATTCGAGAAAAAAAGGTTTTTCAAGAGGTAGTTTGCTTTTAGTGACAACCATTACAGGAATAATATTTCCCCAATATTTTAATTCCCATTAAGTAATGTTCTCCATTTTTAATTGGGGGAAAAAAAAAAAGAAGAAAAAAAAGAAAAGGTATCAGCAAAACTGAACACATTTCCATCTTCTCTTACCACCCTTAACTCACTCGTTCCTTTGGAAGAAAGAGGGACCACAGATGCAAACTAGCTGTTCAGTTTGTCCTGTGATCTCTTTCATGTGGCCCAGCACATGAATACGGCTCATGCTGCTGGCCAGTTAGAAGAACTGTCATTAAATATAGTCACCTTATATAATTGTCCTATGGTTTACAGCTGCTTTGTGATTGAAACCTGATCACTGCTGATCAGGTTTTTAGTCAATGTAAGTTTAAGTAGAAGAGATGTGTGAATCTTGTAAACTGTACAGCTCAGTACAATTGTTGGTAGAGAGTCCTGTAAAAGAAACAAGCTGTAGCATTTAAGTAAAATAAATTTTTCTTGTTTAGATAATAATACTTACATCTCCTTCAAGGGTGAGCTTGCTTAAAATTTCATGGACAGTAGACATCTTGAAAGAATGCTAGAGGAAGAAGAAAAAAAATTAAACAAGTAGACTTAAATATATTTACATTCACACCAGAGTGTTACATAGTCCTAAAACACTGCAGTGCTGAAAGTGACACGGTCCAATAAATCTGCTAAGGCCAAGCAAAAAAGCAGATTTAAGAGTTTCCAAGCCACGTTCCCGTTTATAATGCAAGAGTGAGAGATTTTCATTCCATTGTACAACAAAAATTTATCTTTACTCCTTAAAAAAAATCATTTCTTCTGCATTTCAAATACAAACTTAGGGACCGGAGTTCTAAACTTTAGAAACAGAATCACCTAAGCCTACAACTCAGTACCAGGAAAACTGTGCAGAAACATTATAGCCTGGTCCAGCTCAAAGCCAAAAAGCAGCAACAAGTAGTAGCATTTAATTCAGATGCTCAGTTCCTTAAATGTTCATGGAATACATGAAACTATTTATATTCATGCAGATGTTTTATAAAGTCATAATGCTGTTCAAACTTTAATCCTGGACACGGGCCACAAATACCTCTAATATCAGATGGTTTTGTATTGGCTCCCCAGTGATAAGAATCACAGGACAAGCTACAAACAACAGTTAGTAGTGTGATTGTCAGATACTAGGCAACACAGGACTCTTACAATGACAGCTCCAAAAGTAAGAGTCATTGAGGCAAGATAATCAGTATCATTGAGAACTTGCAGAACATCTTGCTAATGTATATAAAGAAAAATAGGGAAAAATGCAACCCTAAAATAGGTCATGCACATTGCAGAAATGAACATCAATGCAATACACTTATGTTACAACACCCTGCCTTTTTTTTCAACTCTGGTTTCTGGTCAGGGAAGTTTGCCAGAGTTATACCCAAAACTCTGCTCTCAAATTCCTACACAGACAGGACAGACATTGCCACTCACATTACCTTCTAGTCAGCCAAGCTGGTACCTGCAACAAACATTATTTTGCTTGTTGAAATTAAAGCTTGTTCTCAGGAACTCTACAATCAAGCTGTAGAGAGCATTATCAAACAGAGAAAAGAGTTGGCTTGATGAGAAGTAGGACAGAAAGGCCAGCAACACCTCAAGACCAGTGACATTCCACTAACTGGTAACTGAGTCTGGAACTGCAATATTTTCAGCCCCACTGGGTGCCATTCCCCTCACTTCCACGCTGTCACTGGTTCCCCCAGTCCAGCTCCCAGATACCGCACCCTCCGAGCCAACTTGCAGCTACTGCATAGCCAGTCCTGGGTATGTCCTTTCAATTGATTTTCAGACTCTCTTTTTATCCTCCATCAAATCACTCTTCTGATGCTACTGGGGCTTTCTCAGGCAAGCAGTACTAGCCACCCAGGCAAATTTCTCACAAAAACCAAACTCCTCTCCACTCAATGATCAATCTGAAACTAAGAGCTCAGAGAACCAGCAGAAAGTTTGAAAAAGTTTCTTAATAATTGAGATCTGGTTAAAACTCTAGTACAAGTGTCTATTTTTTGTTTTAGCTCCTGTGAACCTACTGTACATCAAGAGAAAGGCAGAGAAATCCTTACTTTTAGCAGATATGGCAAGTGTTATGAGAATAAAATGCAGAAATACAATTACGCAGCTTTTTTTAGCTTAACTGCCGTAATCACACCTTTCCTCACTTAGAATATAGGAAGAAAACCTTTCATCTTCTGAAGCAACCTAGGTATAAGTATCAAAAGCAGCTTTACTTCAAGGGAAAATTAAAATCCCAGGGGAGAAAATATAAGACAGAGGATGAAAATCACAGTCATGCATCAGCTTATTTGGGAATTCATCTTTTTCAGATCAAAAATACAATTCAGCCCTTTAAAAACAGGCTGCAGAAGTTGTAATAAGCTGCTACCTGCTAGGAGCACTACTAACCATACTGGTTAAGAGGGGGATGATATATTACTGAGTTATGAAATTCTTAATGTTTACTCTTAATAAAATGAAGTGCCTAACAATGAGACCTTTGTACTTTGACAGTATTGCAACCAATATCAAACATAAGCAACTGAAGTCCTGTAGTCTTGCTTGCCACAAAAAAACTAGAAAACACCAGTGAAAGCTGAAGCAAAGCAACTACAATACAATCTTTCACAAAACAATCACTGAACAGCTTTTTGCAAGACTGGTTTCTAAATCAATCAAAACCCACAAGGAATCAGGCCTGTTGGAACAAAAAACTAGGACAGAGTCCAGGAACAGAACTAACACACCCTCATGTAGAGCTGGAACTGGGAGGTTCATCTCATCAGCATACAACAATGCTTTGCAACTGACCCCCCATCAGCAGCAAGCTGGCAAAAGGAAAAAATGGGAGTTTTTGCCAGAATCTTTGCAGAGAAAGATCTTTACTCAGAGAACAAATGCACCTCTTTTCACAACCTGCTTTGTAAGGCAGTCATATTTGAGAACAGACTCTCAGTGTCCTGAGACTCACAGACTCATTTTATCTGATGCAGTTCTGACAAGTTCTGGGTGGGTTTGAACACGTCAGTAGAAAATACTTGCACCAACTTGCTCTTCCTTACACTGGAAAAGAATCAGCTTCTACCTTCCACCTGTAAACTAATACTTCAATATCTTAAGGCAAGTTTCTACAACCAATTTTCCTCCTAAATCCACATTACATAATCCTGAATCGTGTTATTCTACCAGAAGAGATAGTGTCTGTTTTGACCTCAACCCCCACAGTAATCAATGGTTTGCACATCTGTTATTATATTCAGTCTAGTCTATATTCAACACCTTACCTCCCTAACTGGTGACAGAAAAGCGTGTGTTTAAAAGTAGCCCCATATCTCGATTCCCAGGGGCAACTCACATGCCTTACAGCACAAAAAACCCACGTGTTCCACAGAAAAAAAAGTCAGGTATGCACAAACAACACATTGCTCAAGAGTCAGCATTTTAAGATACACTTCTTACACTCTTCCAGACATAGATTGAGCAAAGGGTGTTCCCAGACATCTGAGCCAAGGAAACAGCATCCTTGGAATGAGAGAATGGAAACTCTTTCACTTGGAGTACATTTGTGTCAGGTCTCCAAACAGCAGGGCAAGGTCTGGCAACAGAGGAGATGAGGGAGGGCAAGGAAGATCCCCAGTATCTGCTGTAAATGAAATAAGGACTCAAAATCATTCATTTATATACAGTGCTAACCACAAATGAGCCAGGCTGTATCTCCCCAAATCACCCGATAAGGTTTAGCAGATCAATTCAAAGCCACCGCTTGGAGAAAAAATGAGCTTTGAAGAAAAGGATTTCAAAACCCATTAAACCACACTACCACAAACAGACTTTAACTGTTCTCTTCCACAGACACTAATAACCCAGCAGATGTTCCATTCGAGGAACATACTACGCACACACAAAAATTAAGGACTTCCATTTCTTCAAATTCAAGTTATTCTAATTTCTGAGACTTTACAGGAAAACCTTTTTTTTTTCTTTAAATCGAGGCAAACCATTCCATACATTAGCTAATGGAAACTACTCACTAGGGCCGCTTATCACAACTAGCTCCGACTGAAGGTACAAGTAGGGCACACAGGTTCCAAAAGATTCTTCCACTCTTGACCTATAAGCCAGGGGCTGCACATTTCTGTGCAGAGGCAGCCTTTGAATATGAACGTCAGAACAACTAACACTGAACAGAATTAAAGCTGCCACGTATAAGAACACAACTCACTCCTGCGTGACTATCCTGACATCATTTCACTTTTCCTCCAGTTAAAATACACGGTAACATTCCTTTGCCCCAACGTCCCCTCCTCGGTCGGCGAGGAGGAAGCGGCGTCCGAGCTGATTCACGACCCAGAAGGCAGCAGAAAGATCTCAGCCCTGCTCGCGGCCGGGACAGGCTGGTAGAGCCGCGCCCAAGCCTGGCTCCGCCAGCG